TTCTTTTTAGCAATATCATATGACCCCTTTAAGCAGCAAAAACGGTTTTCTACATTGATAAATGTTTCTTGAGCAGCAAATCAACATATTAAAACGATTTCTGAACGCCAATCACAACGCACTGGATAGCTGGCCAATCACAGCACACCTCGCTTTTCAGAACGATGAGCTTTGTAAAAATCGAGCGTTTCAGAAAGGCGGGGCATAGAGGAGAAACAATAATGTACAGTATATGGAAAATAATGTTTTTTTTTTACTTTAAACCACATAAACACATTTCATTACACCAAATACACAAAATAATGTTCTTTTTAGCAATATCATATGACCCCCTTTAAGCAGCAAAAACGGTTTTCTACATTGATAATAAATGTTTCTTGAGCAGCAAATCAACATATTAAAACGATTTCTGAACGATCATGTGACACTTAAGACTGGAGTTAAATTTTAAAATGTATTAAAATAGAAAACAGTTGTTTCAAATAGTAATATTTCACATTACTATAGTTTTACTGTATTTTTTGACCAAATAAATGGAGCCTTGGTGAGCATTACAGATTCTTTCAAAAAAATAAAATAAAAAAAATTCCATGTACCTTTTGACCAGTACTGCGAGTTTCCGCAAGTGCATTTTTGCATTACTGTGGCTATAAAGTTAGCTTCAAATGTCCATGCCATTAAATCAGATGTGCTGCTATTTAGGCAACTACCTATAAACACGCTGACAGTTTAACCTTGTTATGCGAGATTCTCTTCAAACAGTTTCTCCGCCATGAACGCAGTTGACCAGACAGCGTCGCTCACGTTTCATATTCACAAAGATAAGCGAGACCCTGCCTTCAATCACGCTGAATTAAATGTGACTATGGAAGCCGTCGCAGAGGGCCGAGACGGCTCCTGTCTGTCTGTTTCTGTACTGAACCAAACAGACATTTCGTCAGCAATAGCATGATTTCATTGTACCTCTGGGTTTTTAAGCAGCACAAGTGGAAGGAGCTTCAAGCATTATCATCATTACCGGGCTGAATCGACAACCCTTTAAAACCAATGGGCTTGTCTTCAAATTAAAACCGGCATGCTTTATGACTTGGCTTAGAGTGAAGAGTAACGTAACAAACGTTTTAGGCCCGGACATGGTCTCTATCAGGTTAGATGGGTCTAAATCTCTTTCCGTCCGCATACAGTTATTAACAAGCTAGATTCATTAAGGATTGTTTTAACACGCACGGCAGCCTCACTTTTTCCTTAATTCTTCCATAACCCTCCACTCCCGCAGTCAGCACAAGGGAAATCTTACCACAACCCAATTAACTCAAGGATCGTCAAGAACGCTACTGACGAAATTTGCCACAGTCCTCAATTTCCCTACATGTGACTGCTGAGCATCACGTGAAGTTAAATCCCAACTAATAAATCCATGCATCAGCAGTGCAGAAGGGCTGCTGGATTTGTCCTGAAGGAGGATGACTGCACAGGTGCGGATCTCACAATATCCACACACGCATCCTGTTTCTGCCAAAAGTGGCTTATATGCAGTGTGTTTAATATATGCCAGAGGGTCTGAAGGGTTGACATTTTTACAAGGTAATCTGAGCCTCCTTATGTACTGCTGCCACTGAAGGACAGAAAAACAAGGTGGGTGCCAAAAAATAAATTCAAGACACTCATCCTCAAAAAACTATTTGAACAAACCTGTTTGTTCAAATTGCTTTTTTAAAATGAGCTAATGCAACAAATCTTGAACATTGTCAATTTAATTTCATTGTTCAATCCATTTAAATTGGTCAAATTTGTTAAATTAATCATTTACAGGTCTTCAGCATGCTTTGCATAGGACTCCATTAAGAGAAGTTAGTGTTTATTGTTTAGTTATGTTGGCCATTGAGAAGCGTTTGTTATTTATTTAGTTTTATGCTTTATTTAGTTTTGCTAATACCAGTATTGAAACCAGTCTCTTCAAACTTTATCTCACATCACACATAATAATAAACATAACTGACTTTAACATGCTGTTGCTAGTTATTAACCAACACAAGAATTGATATTTATTAAGTTTCTTCCAGAGTTATTAGTTAAATAAAACTGAAACCATAAAAAATTCCTTAAAATAAGCATTAACTGAAATGAAATAAAATATACAAAGCCAACATTTAATATTTTCTAATTTTCATTTAATCTAAACTTGATGTACTAAAATAAGTCAAACTGATATACAAATTAATATATCAAAATATATAGACATTTAAAAAAAACAATAGGTAAAAAAATAAAATAAAAAAAATTCCATGTACCTTTTGACCAGTACTGCGAGTTTCCGCAAGTGCATTTTTGCATTACTGTGGCTATAAAGTTAGCTTCAAATGTCCATGCCATTAAATCAGATGTGCTGCTATTTAGGCAACTACCTATAAACACGCTGACAGTTTAACCTTGTTATGCGAGATTCTCTTCAAACAGTTTCTCCGCCATGAACGCAGTTGACCAGACAGCGTCGCTCACGTTTCATATTCACAAAGATAAGCGAGACCCTGCCTTCAATCACGCTGAATTAAATGTGACTATGGAAGCCGTCGCAGAGGGCCGAGACGGCTCCTGTCTGTCTGTTTCTGTACTGAACCAAACAGACATTTCGTCAGCAATAGCATGATTTCATTGTACCTCTGGGTTTTTAAGCAGCACAAGTGGAAGGAGCTTCAAGCATTATCATCATTACCGGGCTGAATCGACAACCCTTTAAAACCAATGGGCTTGTCTTCAAATTAAAACCGGCATGCTTTATGACTTGGCTTAGAGTGAAGAGTAACGTAACAAACGTTTTAGGCCCGGACATGGTCTCTATCAGGTTAGATGGGTCTAAATCTCTTTCCGTCCGCATACAGTTATTAACAAGCTAGATTCATTAAGGATTGTTTTAACACGCACGGCAGCCTCACTTTTTCCTTAATTCTTCCATAACCCTCCACTCCCGCAGTCAGCACAAGGGAAATCTTACCACAACCCAATTAACTCAAGGATCGTCAAGAACGCTACTGACGAAATTTGCCACAGTCCTCAATTTCCCTACATGTGACTGCTGAGCATCACGTGAAGTTAAATCCCAACTAATAAATCCATGCATCAGCAGTGCAGAAGGGCTGCTGGATTTGTCCTGAAGGAGGATGACTGCACAGGTGCGGATCTCACAATATCCACACACGCATCCTGTTTCTGCCAAAAGTGGCTTATATGCAGTGTGTTTAATATATGCCAGAGGGTCTGAAGGGTTGACATTTTTACAAGGTAATCTGAGCCTCCTTATGTACTGCTGCCACTGAAGGACAGAAAAACAAGGTGGGTGCCAAAAAATAAATTCAAGACACTCATCCTCAAAAAACTATTTGAACATTTAAATTGGTCAAATTTGTTAAATTAATCATTTACAGGTCTTCAGCATGCTTTGCATAGGACTGCATTAAGAGAAGTTAGTGTTTATTGTTTAGTTATGTTGGCCATTGAGAAGCGTTTGTTATTTATTTAGTTTTATGCTTTATTTATTTAGTTTTGCTAATACCAGTATTGAAACCAGTCTCTTCAAACTTTATCTCGCATCACACATAATAATAAACATAACTGACTTTAACATGCTGTTGCTAGTTATTAACCAACACAAGAATTGATATTTATTAAGTTTCTTCCAGAGTTATTAGTTAAATAAAACTGAAACCATAAAAAATTCCTTAAAATAAGCATTAACTGAAATGAAATAAAATATACAAAGCCAACATTTAATATTTTCTAATTTTCATTTAATCTAAACTTGATGTACTAAAATAAGTCAAACTGATATACAAATTAATATATCAAAATATATAGACATTTAAAAAAAACAATAGGTAATAAATTAACTATTAAAATGAAAATAGAAAATATTAAAATATTAATTAAAATAATAATAGTATCTCAATGATACAAAAATAACCTTGGTTAGTTCAAAAAAACATTGTGCCGAAATTACGTTGTTAGACGAAGAAGTGAAATGGGAGTAGAGAAAACAAATGAGCGATTGCGTCTGCATAACCTCCTGCTAAGAGTAAAGAATGACAGACGATGAAAGCCACTTTACAGTGGATGAGCTCTGATAAAATATCTAGAGTGAATTTCATTTTTTCAAAGCCAACATGCCAAACGACCATATTCAAGTCGGGAAGCATAACAGGAGGGAGTGAAAGCAAACCGTCCAAAACAGACTCGAGAAAAACAGTACTGCTCCAAAACTTTTCAAACGATCGAAGGATGAGTAATTTTCCTTTCTAAAATTAGAGAAAAGAATCATATGCTGACAAAAGCAGCATATGCTATGAGTCACTGCTCTACCAAAGCTAAAGATGGAAGGGGAGAAAAAAAGAAAACCTAATTTCCCCTTCCCTCTACTGACAGACTTGAGTCATTCTCTCATCCTCTTCTTTCTTTAAATGGACTGAAGATGCTACTATAGCTGTGCGATACAATCACATTTCAATATTTGGATTTTTTTGATACCATACTCCACTCACAAAAGTGAAGTATGTTATCTCTTTATGTTATCTCTTTACGTTTTGCTTGAGTGTGATTTAAATGCATGGACAACAATTATGAGCAAATCCTAAAATGTATTTGAGTCTGAAATATGAATGAAAGTCTTAAGGGCCTTCTGATTGGTCCACTGTTTTGGAACTGACATTGCTGAGCGCGTTGTGTGTGAAAGTTGAAATTCTTTTAACTTGATACGTCGTCTTAAAAACACAGCGCTCATGTGGGAGACCCCATACAGGTCCATTTACCACGAGTTTACATAGAAAAACAATGGAAACGTAGCGCATTGGAATGGAAAAATGCGTTCTGTGTGAACGGCCCCTTATGGGTCTGGAACATTTGCCTGTGGGATATTCTATTAAAGAATCAAAGCATCTCTTGAAGCAAACTAGCAGGGTTTACCGCAGTTGAAAGCTCTTAAGAGTCATATGTATAACGGTGATGTTTACCTTCCTGCCGATGGCTCCGCTGGGTTTGCGGGGTGGAGGCGGCTCGAAGATCCTCTGCTGTTGCTGTGGTGGCAGCGTGGAGTAGAGCGGGATGATTTTGATGTCACCAACATCGGGGCCGAGATCATCAATCTCACGTTTGATCCGTTTGCAGGCTTCATCGATTTCCTAGAAGGTGAACAGGCTGATGTTAGAGACCACAGACCGACAATCAGGTGCAAAATTAAAGGTGCTGTATGTAGGATTGACAACTAGTGGTTGAACTAGGTATTGTAGTTCAAATTCAAAATATTGGAGAGGGTTTTTTTTCACCCGGCCCCTCCTCCTCAGACTTGAGGTTGCCAGATTGACGACATCAACAGGAACGAGCGCACATGACGATGAATGAAATGAAATATGCTGTGTTTTCAGCCAACTGGCAACCCGGGGTGCCGAAATACAATTGGGTAAACTGGCAGTGGGCGGGTTTCACAAACCGAAACAAAGACTGACATTACATCTAGGAATGCACATTTTCAAAGAAGAATAACTGACTGTAGCATTGTAAAGAAGTATGTTAACTTAGCATGTTTCTTAAATATCTGCAAACATGATATTTTTATTCTTTAGTAGAGTCAAAAACTTTCATACAGCACCTTTAACGCCTGCCGAGTGCCAAAAGACATTTAATAGAATTACTCAACATATTAGAAACTGCAACATAACACAAGGTTTAAATGCTCATTGGAAAAATGTGTGTACCTACATTTTTGCACAACTCCAAAAACATACAATTGACTGCCATTTCCATCTGAAATAAACACTAGTGGCAGTAAAACACCAACCACTTTTATTACAGGAATTAGGATTACGAGGCAGATTATAAGACTTATTTTCGCACAGTTCCATGCAAAATACTGTTATGACCTCAAAGCATTCTTAGCATAGTGCATGATATGTAAACTAATTTTTTTATTTTTTTTTGCTCACTAGACATTTCTCTTAGAAAGTGTTGTGAAACCTGCAAGAAGCAATGTAATATTTTGAAGATGACGCCATAGGCATGTTTTTCCAACGAAGCTTGGTTGTTTTATCATGAAAATTTAGTCTAGAATGGCAAGTTATTTCCTCCAGATCTGCATTGGAGCCAAAAGCCACCAAACAAAAACTAGAACATATTTATAAGGATGTTTCAATTGTTTTGCCCAAACAGCAAACGCCATTGAATCCATTGTTGACCCCACTGACCTCCATTTTATTGATTAAAAAAAAAAAAAAAAAAAAAATTTAAAAAATTTTTTAAAAAAACATATAAGTGAATAAATTCTGAAAGAATGTTTGGGTGAACTATCACTTTAAATCACAGCATTTATAATTGCTGGTCCTGACCTTGAGGGAATCAACCAGATCCTCGACCAGAAAGAGGCGGCTCATCTGCTTGAGCACATGGTTGACGTGGGTGAGACAGACGTCCACGTGCTTGCGGAAGGTCTCGGGGGGCACAGTGACATCTTTCTCCATCAGAGCCCTGTCACACAGGCACATGGGTCAACCCAATTAGCCCTGCTCCACCACATACCCACACACCTCTGAGCACCACTGCCCTCAAAACAGCACTTACTAACACAGAGACTAACATTAAAGTGCCAAATGGACCTATAATGTTAAAGGTGAAGTGTAAAGGTGAAGTTTTTGGTTAAAATACTTTCTCCTAACCCAGCTTAATATGCACCGACAGCAAATTATAATAACAATTAATTATTAAATATATGAATTATATTTTCATTACAATAAATAAACATTATATTAATAATAAGATAATATTAAGTAAGATATATAGAGTGAAGCACCACATTTTTTTACTGAAATTAAAGTTTAGTTAATTCAATTAAAAACTCAAAAGAAAAAGTTTAACAGTCAATTAATTAAATCACATTTAATAAATCAACACTCAAATAAAAACTGAGCTGCATATAAACATTTAAATTGCACACAATGCCGTTTTTATTAGCAACTTTAATTAATTATGTATATGCTCCAATTCATTGTTGAAATATAAACATGTAAACAGTGACTGTAACAAAATATTATCTTCATGGCAGATTTATTCAAACATGCATTAAATCATGAAGAGAACATGTAAAAACAGTAAAAAAAAAAAAAAATCAAAACGTGCCAATCTGAGAAATTTAAAATTAAGTAAACATCACAATTCCGTCCAAAACTGAAAGTTCATTTGATGCTGAATATTTTCGATTGCCGAAATTTTAGTATACATCCATTGATATGACACAGACAAGCAGGCCAAAAAATGACTCTTACTTGAAGGGGTGTCCGTCGTTGGACTTCTGCACAGCCTGGATGACAGACTTGTAGATGCGGAAAGAGATGGTGACACAGAGCAGGGCCAGCAGCAGGTAGGAGACCACGCTGATCACGCTAAATGCCCATTAAACCCTTTTTTGCCCCCCCGGCCCCCCTTTTTTTTTTTTAAAAAAAAAAAAAAAAAAAAAAATTAGAATATCTTTTGTTTTTTTTCTATGATTTTTTTTTAATGTTCTCTTTTATGAAGAATTGATTGTGATAACAAACAATAACAATTATTTTCATATGCTTACATACGCTCCAAATCAGTGGGTTATGTAAATCCACCCTCTGTTTGTCCATTTTTTAAAAAAAAAAAAAAAAAAAAAAATTAGAATATCTTTTGTTTTTTTTCTATGATTTTTTTTTAATGTTCTCTTTTATGAAGAATTGATTGTGATAACAAACAATAACAATTATTTTCATATGCTTACATACGCTCCAAATCAGTGGGTTATGTAAATCCACCCTCTGTTTGTCCAACTTCACCTCATATCAACTGATTTTGGATCAGCAACCCATTAAACTCCACCTTAGCCACTTTCACAAACATCATTAACTGCTGGATCAATTCCCCCATTCTGGAAACACCAGCACCACCGAGGCTCTGGTGGTTTAGTTGCGGTACACTTGACGTGCCAGTTGTGTTAACCCGAGTGAGGAAAGCTGGAGTGCACGGCGTGTGTGGTGCTTGGGTAAGATCCCTATGGCTGTGCCATCAGCGGCAGTCGCAAGAGCATGTGTACACTCACACGCACGCTTTATTATTCCAGATGGCAATGTAGTAGAGCTAATGTGAGATGAGAAAGCAGCAATGATGCATAACCAGGAGAAAATCACAACAGATCAGTTAAGTGAAGCTGAACGTTACATAGTGGCTTGAGATCTAGAAATACGTGCCAGTCGTCAGAGCAAATTAGAGATCCAAACAGTTGGAATGTTTTAAAAAGTACACTGTAGCGCAGATTTAACAAGCACATGCTTTACAAATGTCAAATGTTCATCTAGACTAATATTACCACTGTTCACTAAATGCCTTCTCTCATAAGTCAGAGAAATATTCACTCTGAAACAAATGAAGAATGCTTAGTATTTACTGCAAAGCTTTGTCTTTTCTTCATGCATGGTGAGGAAAGCTGGAGTGCACGGCGTGTGTGGTGCTTGGGTAAGATCCCTATGGCTGTGCCATCAGCGGCAGTCACAAGAGCATGTGTACACTCACACGCACGCTTTATTATTCCAGATGGCAATGTAGTAGAGCTAATGTGAGATGAGAAAGCAGCAATGATGCATAACCAGGAGAAAATCACAACAGATCAGTTAAGTGAAGCTGAACGTTACATAGTGGCTTGAGATCTAGAAATACGTGCCAGTCGTCAGAGCAAATTAGAGATCCAAACAGTTGGAATGTTTTAAAAAGCACACTGTAGCGCAGATTTAACAAGCACATGCTTTACAAAAATGTCAAATGTTCATCTAGACTAATATTACCACTGTTCACTAAATGCCTTCTCTCATAAGTCAGAGAAATATTCACTCTGAAACAAATGAAGAATGCTTAGTATTTACTGCAAAGCTTTGTCTTTTCTTCATGCATGAGCACACTGCGCTCAACACAAGTGGCACGGTCCTACTGATTTGGAAGTCAAAGCTTGTGCAGTACCGCCATCCTCAGGCCAAAGTGTGCATTGCGACTTGAGCAGGAAAGAGATCAATTGAAAACAGTCAAGCAGTGATCTCTAGAAAAACTTCAGGCTGTTGTAATAAAGCATTTATCGATATCATGACATGCACTGCGACAGTGAAAGCCCCTAAAAGTCTTTTACTTGAGACCCTTTCATTGCGTATCTAAGCAGCCATAGCTGATCATTTACCCATAAAAGCATTAAAGCTCGTAAGCATGCTGATATCCCAGACACGGTAGTCCGTGCACGCGCCGAATCACTCCCTGGGGCACAATATGCGCAGAAAATGGCACCGGTGGCCATGTGCATCTTAATCAAAGCTCTGCCACAACAGAGCAGGACAAGGCAAATCTGAATGGATTGATCGAATTAGCCAAAGTATTAATAGTCCATCAGCCCTTGGGAAGCGGCAGCTGTCAGGAGGACTGCTATCTGTGCTGCCAAGGCACCGGGGAGAGAGGGACACATGGCTGCGCCAAAGCAGAAGAGCCTGCACCTGGAGTAAGACACCAAATCAACGCGATACAATACTAGAGGAAAATATTTTAAATGGATGTTTTAATCTACAAGCTGCAGATGCATCTGAGCTGGCACAGATCTAAAGGAGAAAACTAATCTTAATCAGTGGTAATTTATCTCTGAATTGAACGAGCAAAGTTGAACAAATAACCGCAACTGTATCAGTGAGGGTTTTTTCTTTTTTGAAAGATCGTGTGGTTTAAAACTAATTGCTGTTTGCGGAAAGCCTATAGAGTTAAGTCATCTGTTTTTTCTGCAGAGTTTCGATGCATTAGCAGGAACCGGGAAAAGATAAAGAACCTAAAACGAAGTGGACAAACAACGTAAATTTGCTCAGCTAAAAGGCACCTTCATTGACCGAAAGGAGCAAACTGAGCTATTATGTGACTAGCCTAAAAACCATGTTCTTGGCCTAGATTTTAGCATATTCAATCATTCTTTACATGGGCGGAATATAATGGCCAACTCCACTACTGTGGTCATTAGTCTCAACACATGCTTAAGATGGGAAATGCTTAAGCACAGCACCCTCTGAACTGCCCAAGTCCGTATGAACTCCATTAACCTAATTAAAAGCACATTAATAAGAGAGATCTGCTACTATACAGCCAAGAGACGTCCAAATAGTCAGCATGTTATTGTGATTTTAAGTTGTAAACATACCAATTAAAGTCATAGTTTACCCAAAAATGGGTAAAAAAAATCCTCCTTTGTTCTGTTGAACATAAAAGATATTTTGAAGAATACTGGCAATCAAACAGTTGCAGTTCCCATTGACTTCAATTATGTGGACAAAAAAGACAATTAAATCAAAATGAGATATGGACTAGTGTGTGAATATTATGCGGCTAAAATACAATTTAAATATGAATCCTGCATGTTCTGCGTGTCGTTGTGTGAATGAATGGCACAGATGCGTGGTTTCATTTACTACACATACTGAAGCATGTGTGACGCTCGCAGTGTTTTCAGCCTCTGCTGCTTTAATAAGAGTACATGAAATGAATTTCTGTTGAGAGCATTTTATCACTTCACTTGAGAAAAAAACTATAGAAAAACTTTGATATACAAACAGAAACAGGTTTTCACAGCGACCCGTTAAAATAGAAGTCTGGTTTAACTGTGACAGAAATATGACTTAATGTAATAATAGAACTACTACTACTAATAAAATTAATAAAACATTTTTTAAGGAATAATCACACAATCTTTCCTTCATGTTTTAATTTGAATTGTAAACCTCTGCTGTGCAGCATTCTGTTTGCCAAAAAAAAGGGGGGAAGGGTTTAATTTTCCATTTGATTAAAAGATAAATTAATGTTTTATGCCTTCATTTATTTACCAGAAAAAAATAAATACACAACACAGTATTTCTGGGAGAACATTTTTTTATAAAATAATAATAAAGTTGTTTTTAATAAAATCAATTAATCAGAGACACTTTTTAATATTAAAATTGAATTAAACCATTAAAATAGAATTTGGTAAAAATAAAAGTGAACTAGAAAAACGAATTATATATATATTTCATAGGACCCTAAAAATTTTACTTTTGTTAAACATTCAATAAATTGCTGTTAAATTGTGATCATGATTTCAGTTAATTAGACATGCTTTTTGATTAATCAAATTCAATTTAACCATTAAAACAGATCTTTATTTTTTCTTTTTCTAGAAATTAAAATACGGAATCCAGAAAAATTACAACAGAAAAACCGAATTTGGAAAACAATCTAATGGATTTCATAGGGCCCCAATATCTGCAGAAAAATGCCATACGGGTTTGGAATGACATGAGGATATTCGAAATGACAACAGGATATTTTTGGGTGAACAATCCTTTTTGGTTGAGTAAACGACCTTTTTTTTGTGAATTATCCCTTTAAGAATGCCATATTTAGGTTGACTTTGTGCATTAACACTTTTGTGATTTCAAACTGCTTGCTCAAATAATGGCGTGAGTTTGGGGCGGGACTGTGAGAAAATGCACACTTAAACATCAAAAGTGCAAACACAGAGTCGGTCCGTTCGCGATAAACTTGAGCTCGCTTGTATCCGCTGACATTCTGGACTTGATAATGATTTGTTCACAGCAAAGAGAACAATCCTGCGCATCAATAAATCACTCCACTCAATTATCATCCGATGCTGGTGGAGACACTCCAAATGCAACTTACTTGAGTTCATTCATTCTGCAGCGAGCCAGCGATCAATCTCACACCTGCAAATGAAAACGGATGTACACGACCAGATCCACTGGAGAAACTAATGACGGGAGTCTGCCGTTAATAAATAGGGTGTCAAATTATCTGATTAGATTGGTGGTGTGAAGGTATGACTTCTCTTTGAAAAGGGAAGTGAGAGGCATAAATGGAGGCAGTACTACGTTCAGTCTGACTGTTTGTACGTTCTTCTAGCCTGCTTTGCGAACGCAATTTTAAAATTGACTGAATTGTTGGATTCCTGCAATTTGCATGCTTTATTGTTTGCCGCCTCATTAATCTTTATGTAAAGCATGAAAGAAAATCAAGTTAATTTGCCTTTGATCTCTGCAAAAAGAGGTACAGGACAAATCCGTGGGGAAGGCTGGTGATTCTCCATCTGTGAGCGTATTTATCATTTGCGTGGGTCCCTGACCCTCCACTGCGCTCAGGTGAGCACTGGTTGCAGGAGACGTGAAATAATAAATGGCTTAATTTCAGGGCCGAATCTGGGTCATTCTCTGCCATCTCTCACAGGCTTTTGCCTTCGCGCCAAGGCCAGCAGTGTTCACGGCCATTATCAATCTAAGCATTGATCTCTTCTGCACTATTTAACTGTTGTGTGTGAGGCGGCTTGAAAAATGACACAAATCTTTGAATGTGAAGCCACACACAACCAAAACAAAGTACCCACAGTTTGGCATTTATTGTTTTCTGCAACAATATATATATATATATATATATATATATATATATATTCTTTCCTAATCTGTGATGCCAAACATAGACTTGGGAAAATATGCATCTCAAACTTTAGGAGAGAAAATACACATTTTAAAAAAAATAAACATCTACTACAATATAATATTTTTATTTGCAAGCAACAATTCTGAACAGCATCCAACCACACAGCTGTCAGACTGTGATAGTTACAACATCTAACTATTTAATTGATTATTTATATTCCATTATAGTATTTATTAATATTTTAAATTAGCCTTTATTTTGATATATTTGAGATCTACTAAGACGCTAACAGGGCAACCAGTTAAACCCTGAGCCCTTTTACAAAATGCTTAAACAAGCAGAGCTATGTTTCGCTAGTGTTGCTGTATTTACATTTTTATTTACCTAGCAGCCTCTGAACACTGTCCTTGGATAAAGAGAGTAAAATGCTTGGGCTTCAGACAGAGTTTATACAGTCTTTAAAAGTGAAATTCAAGCACTTTTCAAAAACTTTCCGTACAGTCGGTGCTTTTCAAGGATGAGGGAACTTATAAGGGGGAAAAAAACATCAAGCATTTTCAAGGATGACACTCAAAATTCAAGGATTTGAAAACATAACCTAATGGTTAAAATCAAGCATTCTCTGCATGAACCCTATTCAGGGAGGACATCAGCGGCGTTACCTCCTGTCCGGTGAGGAAGAGCAGCACATCTCCCTCATCTTCCTCACACATGTGGATCTGGACGACCGTGCGAATGGACGCTTCTAGGTAATCCCTCTCCGGCTCGGGCGTGTAGAAGATCTCCACGGGATGCGTCCGGCCGGGAATGGTCAGCAAGGGGCAGCTGTCGAAATAAACCTGGAACTTTCCAGCGTCCAGAGTGGCGCTCATTACGATGACCTGGGGAAAAATAAATAGACTGCGTTGGCTTTTGAACAGACACCCTTTTACACAGCATTTGGTAAAAGCCCTGCGAAAAAAGCACAGAGCCATTCTGAGGTCCACCCGGCAGCTTACCACATCATGACGCGCTATATTTGCTCTTAAAGCATATGTGACCCTGGACCACAAAACCAGTCATTAAGGGTCAAGGGTACAATTATTTGAAAATCTGGAATCTGAGAGTGCAAAAAAAAATCTAAATACTGAGAAAATCATCTTTAAAGTTGTCCAAATGAAGTTCTTAGCAATGCATATTACTAATCAAAAATTACGTTTTGATATACTTACGGTAGGAAATGTACAAAGTATCTTCATGGAACATGATCTTTACTTAATATCCTAATGATTTTTGGCATAAAAGAAAAATCTGTAATTTTGACCTATACAATGTATTGTTGGCTATTGCTACAAATATACCCCAGCGACTTAAGACTGGTTTTGTGCTGCAGGGTCACATATTAAACTTTAAAGCTGCATGGTGACGCTGGGCTGAAGGGATCACTTGGAGTCACCTAGACCTTATTCAACAGTCTCTGAACACATGTATAACCTTTGATTTGTTCCTGACAACAAGTAGTCATTACCCATCTGCTTTATGAGAATCGCTCCAGCACATTTCAGCCATAAAAACTCGCTGCGCTTCTGCTCTCCTTGGGCTGATGGCTCTCAAATGGGCTGACCCAGCAGCAGCCGCTTTACCTCCACTAAAGCGACTGGCTGTGCATTTCTGAGTGCAGTGGCCACTAGTGCTGTGTTCAAAATATCGATACGACAATGTATCGTCACAGAGATTTGACGATACGAGTATTGATACAGCTGGTCCTGTATCAATACTGTGGCACGTGTGCAGCAGTGGACCACGCTTCATTTTACAACATTTAAAATGGAGTAGAAAAGTGCGAGGTTTCTAAAAAAGCATGAATAGAGCATCTGTTAATAATCTGGCCGCAGAGGAACACAACTGGGTTGCCTGATATAAAGAGACGTAATCCCCAAAACAGAGCTTTACACTTGCGCAATACAGAAATATCTGCTAAACGTGCTACTTATCTTTATCAACCTGGCAACCCTGTGCTCACGCTTTCTCTCTCCACTGTGGATAAACACGCTTGCTTTCTGAAAACACCGCTTAACTTGCAGTTTAGCTATCTCCACTTCCAAGTCTATTCTCAGAAAAGTGTGATTCATCAACTGTTCATTTACACCACACAG